ATTTAGGATATTTACAGTACATGTGTACTTTTAGAGATTATTTAACATATCTTCAATGTAACAATGTGATTTCATGTACAAATGTTTCCTCTGACAAGAAGTTATGATGGCAAACTTTTATTATTTTTATTATGTTTTTAAATGATAGAGAAGAGATTGTTCCGCAAAAAATGTTTTAAAAATTATGAATAAAAGTTTAAAATATATGTATATATATATATATATATATATATATATATATATATATATATATATGTATATATATATATATATATATATATATATATATATATATATATATATATAGTCTGTTGGTATTACTTATAGTACTTAAAGCACCGTTACATATGGTATTTAGATGCATTTTTCGTGAATCTGATCACAAGTACTGTAGATGGCACTATATTGGTGTAAATGTGGTCTAAAATGCTTTGAGCTTTTCCACTTTCAACCATTTTCAAAAGTAGTCAAAAGGGCATTGGTTCAGGGGGCATTTGTTGAGCTTTTGTAGTATATGCAGTCTGTCTACTGACCTAACATGTGAGCCTTTTGGGACATGTTGTGAGAAAGTGCACCAAAACAAGGCATTCAAACTTCTTACAAAACACACAGTTAACTATCAAGGGCATAGCTGCCATCACAACTTTAGCAACAGCATAACAACCATTTAGAACACCTTAGAAACTGCAGAGCAAAGCCTTACCAACTATCCACAACTCCCTAATATCATGGAGGCAGCTTCTATACCATTCTTATTTTTTATTACTAGTGATTTTTAATCATCCAACATTTTCTGTGCTGTATACATAATTAAATACTGTTCAAATGTTAGGTGTCCGTAATAATAAATTTAATATAAATAAATGAATGTATGTATATATATATATATATATATATATATATATATATATATATATATATATATATATATATATATTCTGCAATATCAGCACTCATACAGCCTCCTCACATAGTGACAGCAGATGAATTAACTCACTACAGTTTGACAAATATTGTAGCTGTTGTACAACAATGTACTTTTGAGGCTGTTTTGTCTAGAATGTAGTTGTTTTGATTGTAACTATGCAGTTTATTTATAAAGATAGTGCTTTTTTTTTATATTTATAATTATTTAGATCCAGTGCGTCGGCATCCATCAGCCTGTCATATTGAGCAGAGCAAAGACAGATGAAATTGTCCATTCACAAGATGGTGACAGAGATCACATAATAAGCCCTTAGAGAAGGAAAAACTCAAAGCTATTTCAATTGATTATTGCGATATCCCGATTGCAACAAAGAAACACTGGGAAACCTCCGTAGACTGATGGCATTTCATGCTGTTCAGCTTTATAATCTTAAATTGTGAGTAAAATCACCTGTTTAGTCATCACTTCAGACATTACGCTAGAGAATCATTCAAATAGCTCTAAAGTGACATTTGTGAACCGGCAACTGTTTATGGTGTTCTGAAATCAGCTGCAGATGTGAATAAATGGCGGAAGAAAGTAGTTCCTCATACAAAAGGATTCTTAGATTCTCCGTGTTTGACTTTCTTTTTATATACTCGATTATGCCTTTAAATTGCTTTATATTGATATCACTGTATATTGTCACTGGTGGGACACTAAGGCACTCGCCTGTGGAAACGTGTACATATATATATATATATATTTAATTATATAGATATATAATTAAATAATATATGATTCAACTATGAATTGTCACCTCACAGCAAGAAGGTTGCTGGTTTGAGCCTCGGCTGGGTCAGTTGGCATTTCTGTGTGGAGTTTGCATGTTCTCCCTGCATTCGCGTAGGTTTTCTCCAGGTGGTCCGGTTTCCCCCACAAGTCCAAAGACATGCGGTACAAGTGAATTGGGTAGGCTAAATTGTCCGTAGTGATATAGTGTGAATGAGTGTGAATGGAGGTTTCCCAGTGATGGGTTGCAACTGGAAGGGCATCCGCTGCGTAAAAACTTGCTGGATAAGTGGGCGATTCATTCCACTGTGGCGACCCCAGATTAATAAAAGATTTGTAATAATAAAGGACAAAGCCGAAAAGAAAATAAATGAACTATGCATTAAGATTGAATTAACTTTATCAAGTAGAATAGTAAATACTTTATATTAAAATGTTCTTATGTTCAATAATATGAAAAATGTCTTTATATAATACAAAAAGTTTTTATATTTGTAAAAAAAATCAAAATGCAAAAAAAAGAGAAATATGCTGAAAAATCATGTCAAAAATGGGAAAAAGTGGTATGTTGTTCACTGTAAAAACTAGTAAATTTTCTTTATCACACAATTTAATCAAAGTTAAAGACAAACAAACAGATTGTCTAGGCTGAAACTGATCAACAACGACACTGAAATATTATTATTATTTTATATATATTTAAAACTACAACAAAAGTCAATATGCAGTAAAATATTCAGTGTTGGCTTTTGGCCAAGTTTTCTGTAGTTTTTACTTTCAATTTTGCCTCAAAGATGTTCAAAGGAAGAAAAACCTCCACAGAAACTAACAAACTATAACTTGCTGAAAGTAAACAAAAAATGTGATTATCCAAAAATCTGCATCCCAAAGTCAGTTACACAAGATAATCTCAATCAAATTTTGCCATAATGATTTCAAGCCGCATTTGTACTGTCGAGCAAAGCCTCCAGAGAGCATGTGCTGGCCTGTGGAGGGAGAGTGTTGTTTGGGTATTGCTGAGGTCAGTAATGGGTGTTGTTGGAACATCAAACATGATTTTGCAGCAATGCAACGTGTAGCAATGCTTTTGCACTCTACTACGATCATGCCTCCCTCCTACATAGCAACAGAGATAAAAGGATGACTAATGTGTCCAGTGCAGAAAAACATGCATTTAACACTTGTGTCATAACTTGAAGACGTAAAAGGCACACAAGGGCCACATGCAAAACAGCTATTTATGGATTCCCAGGTTGCAAGGTTCCTCATCAAGGATTAGAATCCATCGTTTTCATCAACTGTCGCAAGAGAAAATTTATGAAATGCATTTACATGTACCAACAGTCGTTCTGTGTTCTATTTATCAGCGTGTCTGTCTGCCTGTCTCCCATTATTCACACTAGGGCTGGTGCGGCCCAGTCACAGAGCCCACTGCTGTCAGACCAGCTTAAAGATCAGATGGTATTAAAGCCTGCTGTCGTCATGGAGACCACTTCCAGGAGACTACTAATTGATCTCACTTCCGCTCCACTCGTGCTTGTGCTGAGAAGGTGTGAAACACAAAGCATAACAAGAAACATATAGATGTCTGCGCATAGCAGCTGGGAAACAACATTACAGCCCCATTATTACAGATCGCTCAATGTGAGAAGTAGAAAAACAACATCTGTGTTGAATTTTCAAAGCAAAGCAATAAGACGGAAAACACATCTCTTTATATATAAGCCATTTCAAAACCTAGAATCCCATGACAGTGCAGATCCTGCCCCACTTTTGCTTTGAAAACTAGGGCTGAACGATTAATTGCATTAGCAGTAATACTGCAAAAACACCCATTTTAAAACGCAAATGCCACATTACACGCAAGAGTCAATCAATCTGAAGAGAAAATATCAGGGGCCGGACATTTCTATTATTGTTAGGATGAGATTTGCTTTGTTCTTGTTCTTTTGCTTTTGAACTTTAATTGATAATGCCGCCATCTAGTGGTAGTGTGTGATGCTCTCCTGAATTCACAGTATACTCATTACATGGCCAAATTATTGCTAAAATTTGCTGATATTTAACGTCCGCATATAAAAGCTTTGCATAAATTGTCAACCTGTTTGATTTGAGAGGTTGTTCGCATATTGTGTCTTTTGTATGCTCATCGTTATCTCAAACGGAGACGCACTGCATCCTCGTGAAAATGTTCAAGAACACAGTTGCGATGTGCATGCGTCATTTTTTTGAAACCATCTGAACTTTTCAGAATGCCGCAAACGTACCACACATCACGTGACAACAACCAACCAATCAGCTTCACACTTTTGTATGAATTATTTACATTTCAGTAATTACAGAGGACTAATTACCTGAAACAAATGCAGAGCACTCAAACACTATGCTGCTTTTTATTACTCTTCTTATATCCGAATCTTATACCAGAATTGTAATTCTGTGTTCACACCAGACTTGCCATGTGCAGATAAATCACGATATTTGTATGAAAAAATTGCGATATTCACTCGCATAAATAGACGCGTAAACAATTTAAGTTTACTCCTTTTATTCACGCCTTAAATTCACTTCACAATTGATGTAGACTTGCGTCAAGGACAGGGCTTCTGTCTGTCCAGTGACTCTACTTTCATTACTAAATGACTAACATGGATTTTATTGAGAGAATAGCTGTAATTATGTTCTTTAGGAAGACTGAAAAAAAAAAAAACTATATTCAATCGGCGACATAATCTGAGTGCACTAGATACTTTCAAAGGTGCACCCAGCTCTGTGAGTTCATCAACTCCTCCAGAAACTATACCTGGATCTGTCTGCAAGAGGATTTCGCAGTGGGACACCAACAGCAGGCACTATGTCATAATCACTCCCGTACAAGAGCAAGCTCATGTCGGCTGAAGTTCAGATTTTCCAACTCGAGTGTTTCGCGCGAAACGAATGATACACACGTTAAGTGCGTTAACTGTCTATGCATTGACGTAACATGTAACTCACTCGCAATTGACGCTTCATCCACATCTGATGTGAGCGCAGCATAACTGTCAGTTGTGGTTTCTCTGAAAGTGCAGCTGATAGCTGCTTAGCAATGACAGACACCATGGCAGTGCAAGCTCAGAAGCATGTTGAAATTGACGAAGGAAGTTGACATGCCACACATTTTCCACATGGTTTTAGACGCAGTGTTTGAATGGCCCTTAATTGTGTAAACTGCATTACTGGTTAAATAGTATCACAATGTGATCATTTTCTAAAATGGTTCAGTCCTTGTGGGAGAAATGAATGTTGAGGAAGTCGCACTCACCTGTGCTGCCTGTGCTGGGGGGTCTCTGTGGGGGCACTACGCTTCTGTGCATTGAACCTTGAGGTGGAGACAGCATGGCACCGTCACTCAGAGAGGCAGCGGCCGACAGGCTCTGGCTGCTCAGAGAAGCCCCAGGGTTGTAGGACATGGCGTTGGGGTTCGTCACTGGCACAGCCACATGCATGGAGAAGTTTTGCGGGGGCAAGGCCGTCGGCTGGAAGAGAATCACACACAAATATGGCTTCATGTGGGAGGCATCTAAGACTCTTTAAGCTGACATTTCATCTAAAAATCCCAGCATCAAAATTGACATTCACACAGATAACTGAAGCATAACATGAAACGCTACGATTAGAAAACGGTGGTGCAGCGCTCAAATTCATTTAGCCTGGATATTCAGGTAGAGCGGCCCGTAATGGTGAGCTGCACATATCTTCAGGCCTCTACCAGGAGTGAAAGATGACCCCTGAGCATTGGTGCTTTTATCAGACAATGGAGGAAAACAGGAGATAGATTGCCGGGTGGAAAAAATGTAATCTCAGGAGGGAGATCTCTGGATCACCTTGGGCTGTCCAAGAAAGCCCGGCGTAAAGTGAGAAATACTCTTGGAAAACAATTCTCCTATTGGGAGTCATTTTCACTGTGCTCGGAACACCAATTTTGACCCAGGTTCAATACATAAAACAACATCTTGAGATGAGATTTATTACAAAGGCATGCAAATTTGGGAAACATCCTGAAATAGCTCTGCGGGTCAAGTATGGCTATAGCCAGCACTGCACTCGGCTGCTTTTACAGAACAAAACAAATAAAACACACAAAGACATTTTTGGTTTAAAATTCAGTGTAAATAGGAGGGAAAAACAGGTGAAATAACCATAAGTAGTAAATCAATATGCAGTGCATTGCTGACTAACCATAGCGTTATCCAGAGTGAGCATGAGCAGGGACAATGTGAGGTCACTCCATTCACTTAATAGTGCAGCGAGCCAGTTAGTGAGAATATTAGTATGTTAATGACACAAAGAACTAGAGCTTTGTTCATGTTCATTCAGTGCATTGAAAACAATAGTCTGGCACCCACTATGGGTGCAGAATGTTATGGTCACCACCCAATAAGATCACTATTGTCTCAATTTAAAAAAAAAAATGCTTGCAGAAAAAAAAAATCATGATTAGAAACCCCCAGATTTATTTGTTGCTAGCTTGAACTTGAAAATTGTTCAGCTATTTGATTGTGCTGGGATTCTGGGCTCTGGCAGGACTGAAGAAATTGTCCAGGGAGATGAACAATACAAACTCAGGTGTTGCCTCCCACCAGAAAGACTGAGACTAAAAGAAATCAGTTTAAATGAGTAGAGGAAAAATAGGCAGGATGGTCTCTCCATCTTTATACAGTGGCAAATCTTCTCCATCACGAGACCTGGACAGAGAGCGGCACTGAGAGAAAAGATTCAATTTCCAGATCTGTTGGGGAGAGTGCTGGGAAGAACACATCAATTACCTCAACCAATGAATCTGTCAGTACTCTAGCTAGGTGGACATTGAGGCACTTCCCCTGAAAGAAATATTACATCACGCTTAGACTACAGCTAATTGTGGTTTATTTACATTATTTAATTATTTATTGAATAAAGCTGGATCCAAAATATCACAAATCTTTTGAATGCGCAAAATCGGCTAATAAACAAAAGATAGTGTAGTACGTACAGTTAAGGAATTATTAGCCCCCTTTTTAATTTTTTATTTTTTTAAAATATTTCCCAAATGATGTTTAACAGAGCAAGGAAATTTTCACAGTATGTCTGATAATATTTTTTTCGGTAACACTTTATAATAACTACACACTATGAACCATTTATTAAGCATTAGCAAATAATGAATTCATTCTCTATTAAGCATTAAATCCACATTAATAGACATTAGTAAGCAGTTTATAACTGCAGCTACAAATGCTTAATAAGTCACTAACAAAGTATAAAAGTACAACTAATAAGCACATTATAAATGTGGTTATAAGTCAATAATACAATAGCTGCAGTTATAAACTGCTTACTAATGTCCATTAATGTGGAGTTAATGCTTAACAAATAATGAATTTACTATTTGCTCATGCTTAATAAATGGTTCATAGTGTGTAGTTATTATAAAGTGTTAGCGTTTTTTTTCTTCTGGAGAAAGCCTCATTTGTTTTGTTCTGGCTAGAATAAAAGCAGATTCTATATATATATATTTATTTATTTATTTATTTATTTTTTAGGTCAAAATTATTATTTTTTCTGATAATCTACAGAACAAACCATCATTATACAATAACTTGCCTAATTACCCTAACCTGCCTAGTAACCTAAGCCTTTAAGCCTTTAAATATTTAAGCTTTATAGAAGTGTCTTGAAAAATATCAAGTAAAATATTATGTACTGTCTATCATGGCAAGAATAAAATAAATCAGTTATTAAACTGCTTAAAACCTTCTCTCTGTTAAACACAAATAGATAAAAAAAAACCTGAAATAAACAGTGGGGCTAAAAATTCAGGGGGGCTAATAATTCTGACATTAACTGTATGTTTAAACTACAAAATCTCAACCAATAAAAAGTGCCTCTTATTTTGGCTCAAAAAAGGGGGAGGTTAAATAATTCCAAACAATGTGATCTTATTAGTGTGAGTGAAAAAGGCTGCAAATTAATGAGAAAAAGTGCACTTCCAATGGAAAAAAAATCAAAAACTAAGAGTATGCTTTAAAAACAAAAAGTCTGTTGACTGTTGACAGAGGTTGCAGGGTGAGGCAATGAAAAAAGGGGGGAAGGGGGAGTATCCTTTCTGCCACAAAGCCAAGCAAAAACATTTCATTTACTTACGATTTTATGATTTCGCATCATATTATCAAACTCTTCATTAATTTTTTTATATTTTTCTTCTGTGTGAGGGGTGAGGACATATGAGGCATCAGGATCCGGGCTATCACAGCCTCTGTGTTCTTTCTTGTTAAGCGCCTGTAGTAAACATCAACATAAAAAGAGGGATCAACACAAAAAGGCAGGAAAGAAGCAGTACTTACACCACAGCGCTTGTACATTAAATCACTCTCTTCGTTTAGTTTGCCGAAACGGTCGTCCATGAGGGGACTGTGACCGAAACAGTCATCTGGATCGGGACTGGGACAGTCATTATGGCCTTTGTTTCTTAATTTCTGAAAATGAAATTGGAAAATTCACACATTCATAGACACATGTAAACCCTACCACATCTGTAAACCGTTGGGTCAATTTATACAGTGAAAGCAATTGAATGTTTAGCAAAAAAATATGATAAAAGATCAGAACGTTTAGATAAAATGCATAATTCACAGAACTGAATAAACTCGTACATTTACTGAACTCTGCTACCATTGCATTCTGCTTAGTGAACACAGAAAAGCTGCGATCAGGATGTTGAAATTACACTGGTAACAGTTCAATGGATAATTTGGCAAATACATTAGGAGCTAATACGCTGATGGTTGCACCATGCCTATTGCATTAGCCCCCGGGGAGGAAATTGAATTGTCACTCCTTATCCTTTCCCTTAAAAACATTAGGTTGGGAAAAAAACCGACTCGTCTTTTCTCTCTCTTTCTCTTTCTCTCTCTCTCTTTCTCTTTCTCTCTCTCTCTTTCTCTCTCTCTCTCTCTCTCTCTCTCTCTCTCTCTCACTCCTCTTTGCTCTCATTCTTAGGAACATACATCTCCCTCAGCATGTGTGTGTTGCGATGCATATTTCATTATCGTTCAGTTATCATAAGCCACCCAGCTGGAAGACACACACACATAAGAGGATCCCACAGTGCATTGCTTTAGAAGCTCTCTCGCTGTAATTCAGCACACCTGCCACTCACAGAAGCCTATCAAAGTAAAAGCAATGTACAAATTGAACGGATTATCATATCCGGTCACTAACATTTATTTAAGTGTGGTGAAGACTGATTATTTTAAGAGCAAAGTGCAAAAGGGCACAGCATCTGCTATAATAATAGCCATTTTACCCAATGGGATCTGAGGCTTTTTAGTAGTTTTTAATAAAGTCTGTATTTGTTTTGTCAGTGGAGGGTTGTTATGTTGTGTTAAGGCCTGCAAAATGTGTTTTAAGATTTATCTGTTCATAGCTGGTCTTTAAAATATTGTAGCGCATAAAATGCATCATCACAATAAACATTTAATCATATTATTAAGTATTATTGCCTTAAAAGGGCACCTGTTTACAACATGTAAAATAGGTCGCTGATGAGTGTGTATGTAAAGTTTCAGCTTAAAATACATCACAAATAATGTTTTATTGTTTTTTTTTTTTTTAAATCGACCATTTTAGATTTAGATCCTAGTTGTGATATTTTGGTGACTATCACTATAAATTAAAATGAGATTGTGCCCCCGACCCTCTTTTCAAAAGAGGGCGGAGCTACAAATGCCTATGTGTCAGCATAGTGGGGGATTCTAACACAAGACTAACGTCCCATGCTAATGATAGAGAGATTGTCATTAATAAGCAGGACTTTCCACCCCTGAAGACATGTACAAATGTCAGCCAAAGTGTTTCTGAAGTGTTTTAATGAAGTATGATAATGAATAATGCATTGTTTACCATTAGAAGCTGGTTAATACAAAACTGTGTTTTAAAAAAGTGATTTTTGCATAATAGATCAGCTTTAAAAGTATTTAAAGTATAGTACACCCCAAAATGTCAACTTAGTCAATATTTACTCACACTTTTTAAAAACACATTGTAAACTAGTATAACATTGATATCCATGACAGGAAAAAAAATACTATGGATGTCAATGGCCTCCTTGTTTCCAACATTCTTCAGAATATTTTATTTTGTGTCCAATAGAAGAAAGAAACTGTGTGTAAATGATGACAGTATTTTTATTGCTAGAACTATCCCTTATTTATTTTCCTTATTTTGCAAAAGCACACACAAAAAAGTAGACACCTAACAGATTCAAATGACCAAAATCAACAGAGTGTGTCTTAGTGTCTTCACCAATGATAAGTTAGGCCAGACAGAATCTCCGGACATTTTTTTCTATTTATGCAAATAAATTTGTAAAAAATCTGTGGATTTTTGCATCATTATTTTTGGGAATATCGTAACTAAAAACTAATATATGAAATAAAAATGAAATACATTTTAATTTTTTATTTAATGTTTACAATGCAAATCCAATTAGATCCACTTCTTTGGTAAACAAAGCAAGTCTATAATACTGTATATTATTTCAACTAATAGACAGAAAATATTACTTTACTAACTGTATTGTAAATAAATCAAATGAACACTTTCATATTAGTTGATTTTATTACTGAAATTATATAAACGAATAAATATAAATTTACACAAGTAAAAAATACACCAAATGATGGGCTAAAAATCTGTGGAAATCTGCAGATTTCTGTGTGCACAGATTCAGTGTGGGCCTACTGATAAGAAAAAAAGATGCTGGTCACAGTAGCCTCACCAGGGCCCTCAGAGGGTTAATAGAGGAACATTTATTGTAGCCTCTTTGAATTTTATATGAAAAACAATGATGATAATAAAATATATATGCCATGTCATGCATCATGTCACTAAAGCTAAAGCTTACATTGAAAATATATACTGATGATTACTTTTCAATCTAACATGCTTCACTAACTTTTATTTATTTATTTATTTATTTATTTATTTATTTTTGCTTGTTCAACCTATCTAATTAAAATGAGCTGAAACAACAATTCTTGAGATTTCATAGGGGCAACTTAATTTTTTATGTTCAATCCACATAAATTTGTTAAAAGTTAACTTAATCAATTTGTGCTGGGTCAACATTAATTAATTATGTGTAACCCTGCATTTTTTATAGTGTTTGTTGGGATTACAGTATGACTTTACCTTCCATAATGCATAAATGAGTGTTTTATGTCTCAAACTTTCCCCAACCCATCAGCCCACTTCCATTATCAAAATGACAGTGAAGCCTGCCATGTTTGGAAAAGGAGAAATCTTCATTTGATGTCCTGGTCTGTTTCTTACAACATGGATCTCCTGTAACAAGACTGCCTCGGGTTGGTTTGGCAGCAAAGGTCACATGTTCTTTCAGATGAAAAAGTCATGTTTTGAAGGAAGTGAAGCAAAGTGCATATACACTAACAAGCCCCTTAGTCTTTATATCTATTGCGTAGTGGGTACAATGTATGTACGTGTGTGGGTGTGTGTGTGAGACTGCTTTAGGAGTGCAGCTGCTGTCCTCTAGTACTTCTGTGAGTGCAGTGTTAGATCTTTGTTGATCTTTATCTACCTTACAACACGTGCAGACAAGCTATGTGCTGTGAACAAGAATGTATAAATGCACATCAATACTTGAACACGTTCTGTAATGTCAAAGCAAAACACAAAATACAAGTGGTGTTCTGCTTACGGATACTGATATATGGTTTTCTGGGACCATCTGTAACCAGAAAGCAATTTAGTGTGGGGCCGAAGGTGGCTCTCACTCTCTTTTTTTCTGAGCAACGCCTTCCTGGGTCATTTCCTGTTTACAGGGCCCTATGTGGCTCTCTGAAACACTGTGTTTACCAGTGAAACTATGCACTTTCTCCCCCAGAGTGCCACAGATTCCATCAGGACCTGCAAATTATAGTCCCAACCTGCTCATTATGTGGCAAGCGCTGTGGCTGGAGCTGGGCAGCGAGGTCTGTGTGAGCAGGGCAGGGCCGCTGACTTCCACAGTAACCCAGGGGACACACCCGTCCACTGGGGCCTGAGTCGGCAAGGGAGGCGTCCCTGTGGAAACCGTGGCCTGCCAGACTGGCCTCCTCATGGGCACACAGTGTTGATGAGCATAACAACATTGCCAAACAAAGAATGTGATGGGACGATGTTTTATAGGCTTTAATCAGAGAAGATGTAATATTGAATTCTGTGTGGTTGAAAACGAGGCTGTGAAGGAAAGACTTGCACTGTTTACAATGACACACGCTGAAATTGATCTTAAATCAATGTATTTTTTTAAACAGCTACTTTTAAAAGTGTTTCAAATTAGTTTTTGTCTACACAAAGTTTTTTTTTTTTTTGGGGGGGGGGGGGGGGGGGGGTTGTTCAATTTTGTCCAATTGACATGGATTGAAAACAAGAGGCTGAGCGATATGACAAAAACTACTCTGACAACACAATATAGCTACTCATACTACTTTATGTTATATTTGTTAATAAAGTAACTAAAATACATTTCAAACAATAGAATATCATACAAATGTAGTATAGAAAAGATACTTAATGTACTGAGAAATATAGAAACTGAATGTAAAAAAAACTCTTATTATTTGAACAATAAGAAATCACACAATAAGACACCTTTCTTTTTGTTCAAAGGCAGCTTTCTTTATTGTATGTGGCAGTAAGAACTAATACTGCATCAGAATCTTTTTTTCTGGCTTACTATGCATAATAATAACTTTTTTGACATCACACAGATCAGACGATGACTCTAAAGTGTCAGTGGCTTTAATTAATACATTGGTATGTATATATTTGCAAACTAATAAAGAAACGACATTGTTTAGTAAAACTTTACATTAATACATCGTGTCAAACCACCCAGACACTTCACATTGTCTTTGCAGTAGTGCTGGAAGACACAATTGGTTTAGTTATCTTATCAGTTCAAACATGACCAGTATTCTGAAGTATAGCTGAAGTATTGATTGAATCCTGTGAATATACAGTATATAGGGCTATTAATAACATGCACAAACAGTTAAAGTTTGTTAATTTAAAAATAAAATTTTGAAAATCACAAAAGCTTTTATTAATCATAGGGGATTCTTTTTCCTCTTTTAACACCTATATGGAATATGTGGAAGGACTTGTAATTTGTCAGTAACCTGGGTCAAGTGCTTTTGGTAAACTGTATGCCATTACAAAATTGACGCTTTTAAGGTATCTTTATATCTTTAAAATATGAACATTTATTTTACCCCAGTATATTCAATTAAGCTTCTGCACTAGCCTGCTAATCCTGACGGGCGCATGCGTGTAAACGACTCTTCATCTCGTTTTACTCTTGAGCAACTAAATGAATGCTGAAGTCTATTTAACTGATTATATTATATCATATATTTAATTACATTACAACATTGATGCTTTTAAAGGAACCGTGTAAAATTTTTAAAAAGTC